GTTACTAATAGCTTGATGCTACTTTAGACAGTGCAGTATACTATACACATGGACCAGTATACCCTAGTATACTTGAGAATAATGTATATGTCCACCATAGAGATTGTTTTCCTCTGGTGGATGCAAGTACTCACTGACACATTTTTTATAGTTTGGATGCACCTAAAATAAAACATTCATTATTCATCTGGAGGTACTTGCAGCTGTCAGCAATGTGTCGATGAGTATTGGCACCTGCATTCATCACAGGTAGTAGTAGTAAATCTAAACCTTTTGTGTAAACTAGCATGTTTTCTAGCGAAATTGGGTTTAGTTCACTGCAGACTAAACAGAATATACCGAAGTCTATGCACAATTATTGAACTTTATGGAAACCACTGGGGATGGTAATTATTCACTTGTAGCTCCATATGGAAGATTTATGGCACTGAATGATTTTTAAAGAATATCTTTACTGAAACAATATGTAGACGGCATCTGATCTTAAAATGCTACTTGCCTAACTGCCATCTTGGGTTTTTTACCTTCATACTTCTGGTTTCCTTAAATGTTGGTAAACATGCTTCTGATATGGTTCAATGAACACGTCAGCTCATTTCACTCAGAAGGAACATGGGTGCGAAGGTAGTGCCTGTATAAAGGTACCCCTATAATTATGTTTTCCATAGTGAGGAATGGTACTGTGTCTGCTAAAGTATAGACGTTAATCATCGGTTTACTCACACTTCCTGTTCCAAGTGACTGTAGTATAAACTTACCATTGTTTCAGAATTGTCCTGTACAGCAAGAAAATGATTTGTAATATGTTTTGGAGAGTTGTGCCAGACATAAAGTCGGTGTATAAAAGAATTCGGGTTCGAAGAAATTTGCTATTTTTGCTGGTCTGTGTTCTCTCAATCATTTCCCAAAGATGATTAGCATGGATATAGAGCAGGTTAGGAAGTATGACTAACTTTGTCCATGAAATGAAAACAAACCATGTTTCTGCAAGGCAAAGCCCAGGAGATCTTATCCTTCAGACTTGTGTTCATCTGAAGCTTTGTGAGCTGGTTATCTGTGCATTGAATGCTTTCAGGTCTTGAAATGATGATGCATCAAGACAGATGCAACTGGCCACTTCATTGCACTGACCTATTAATCCAAACACCTAACTAATTAGATGCACTGGACATTTATTTGCAAACACTTTCCACAAATCCTTCCTTCTACTAGGGGTTTGTTTTACATTTGGTATTTCCAAACAGGTTTCAATAAAATAGTGTGGAGAATACCATAAGATAACCCCAATTTATTAGATAGGTTATGTTAGTTGTGTGGTGGTATTTTTCACACAACTGCATTTCCAGTAAGGACATTTCCATTGACCGTTATTATGAATTTTAAAATATGTGTAAGATTTGGTTTAAGCCCACACTAATAGCTTTATTTTATTAACAAGCCAATCAGTAACCGTTGATATTAGTATAAAAATAGTTACTGCCATGAAATCCCTACCCAGCATCTTTAATACAAGACCATGGGCTCAATAAGCATTCATTATGCATGAGTAGTGCAGCTATAGGGTTGCAACCCCATACCAAGCAACCACCATGGGTGAGACCATACCATTCCAACCAAAGTGTTTTCCCATTCCCATCATGCCAGAGGATTGTCTATAAGGGGTCTTGGCTTTCCCCATAAATAGAGTTACTCTATTACTCTACATTTAACAATAGCCCAAAACCTCCTCCACCTGACATGATGTCCATGGGAGTCCAATCCAGAGTCTGTTAAATTCTTCACCCCTATTTTAAATCTTAAGGGTATTAATCTAGATTTATAACCCCTAGCAGACTAAATTAGCTGACAGTGTTTACAAAAGCAATATGCAAGAAAATACACATAAGACAAAACAATATGTTGACACAAAAAAAGAAAAAACAGCCCCCCCTTCCCCCTCAAATTAAGGCAAAATCTAATGCAATATTAACATCAACGGTAAGATTTGGTTTAAAGCATAACTCTAGCTAAAAATAGCACCAAATAAAGCCTGCTGTACTTTTTTCTGCCACCAGATGTCCTCAGTCTGATGGTCAGCATCATTTTAATTCACTTCTCTGAACCCAAGTCATCCTGGATAAGCCCCAGCTTGTGACTGAACAGTGAAAGGAGCAGCAGCACTGTAATGTGCTCATCTATCATTCTTTCTCTTTCTACCCTTATGCGTCTTGTTGACACACAGACTGATTGGCTCCTTGTGCCACCTTTTCCTTACACACTCCAGCACTGTTAAAAAGGGAATGCAAGAGGGCTGATACCAGGTCAAATTTCAGTACTAGCACTGCTTGCTTAAAAAAAAATACATTTAATGATGTGATAATAAATACAACTCTGCATTCATTTGTTTTTTAACCTGCCTACAGTTAAAGGAGAACTATGAGGTCAGTGATTTCCACTCATCCTCATAGTTCGAGCTGACCTGTGACAAAGAAGCTGTCACAGGTTGGCTCTATCGATCGGGAAGTGAGCGAACACATACCGTTGCTCGCTCACCTTCCGATCATTTCCCTGCAGAGTGGTGACTATCAGTCCCCGCATGGATTCCCCCCTCCCCTCTCCCATCCACCAGCGCTGAGTGGATAAACGGACAAGGGAGCGGGCGGGCACAGCTTGCTCTGCCTCTAGATAGGCAGAGTCAGCTGTCACTCACGCAGCTGGGTTGTTTCCACAGTATTGTCGGGATCTGTCCCTGTTGCGGCACTCTCGGTATCGTCTGCGATATACTGAGCTTTGGGTCACGGGAGGAGGTTAGAATATGTCCTCCCGTGACCCTAAAGAGAACTATGGGGAAAAACACTTACCCCCATAGTTCTCTTTTAAGCTTCAAAGCTTAACTCCAGGCAAAAAAACGTTTCATATAGATCTATTCCTCAATAATTACAAAGGATCCAAATTCACTTTGTGAGCATGAAATGCCTCCATAGGCCCATCAGTTCTACCCACTACAGGCTGCCTACAGAAAACTATAGGAGGAGGTGGATACAAAACCTGTCACGCTGCACAAGTAGAGTGCAGCAGTAAATGTCTTGTATTAAGGAAGCTCCAGCACAGAGGCAAAGTTTCATACTGGAATACTGCACAAATATGGAGAAAAACACCCCAAGTCTCACGTAAGAATACACATACCTCTTGTATTTAGACAAAGATCCTAGAGCTCGGCTGTACGTTGATCTCTGGTTAGACACCAGCTCTTTATATAAAATGCGGTGGTGTGCACTGAAAAAAAGGAAAAAACAGTACACAGTGCAAGGAGTATGAGCCCACAGTGGGTAAACTAGATACACAACCAATTTTACTACAATATGGATGTAGTGGTTCGAGTAATCGGATAAATTACTTTCTTTTGGAGACTAATCATATACCTTCTGTAGATGTTTGGGCCATGGGACAAGGCAAAGGTGCTGGGAAGGGGAATGAATGTATGATATGATATGAGTGTGTAAATGTTTGTGCGTTGTCAAGTTAACCAATCCTTAATAAAAAATATTAATAAATTAATAAATCACTGTAGATACATAATTCCCTATGCAACTAACAGGTAGCATAGGACAGCAGCAACAAATACTCTTAGACGGATGATAGCACAGCACAGGACAGCAGTAATAAATACTCTTAGCAAGAGGGTAGAGTGCACAGACCTTTTATTGTTAATGTCCCAGATCATTTAGTAGTATGTGAGGACCGCTTAGCATCTATGTATTGCTTATGCAAAATGCTGACTGTGCCTAGCTGGTTCAAAATATTCCTATTCTAACAACTGTTATGTAAAGCGCAGATGAAAACATTTTTTATATGACATTGAAAAAAACATTGTTGCACGATACCTTTTAAAACAAGCAAAAATCAGCTTGACTTGAATGTTTTAATCTTTTAAAATGATCTAAATAGTACTGAAAGCATTTTCAGTACTGCATTTATCTTTAACATTATATATTTATAAGACTTGTACCACACTGTGTAATATTTTTAGCAGGAAAAAGCCATAGGTTATCTTCTGGTCTGTTTTTTTTTAGCCAGAGTTTTAGTCATTTTCTGGGATTTTCCAGGATGGCTGTGAACAGAGTTGATTGTAAGCGAACAGTGTTTCCATTGAACGTATATTACAAGAAAGTATTAGTCATTCATGGCTCTTTATCTTCTCCCTGACATGTAGTGCATGTCTATTTTCTCTACTTCAGCCCGTTTCTTTCTGGCACTTCCTGCAGTCCATATTTTTTTCTACATTCTCAAAGTGATGCAGTCCTGCGCTGGTTAAGTAATCAAGAAAGTCGTGCGTAGGGGGAAACGGGGGAGGGAGGCTGAGTTGATGAATACATAAAGGCTGCTGCTCTGTTTCATTGGTTAGATATCCTCTTATTGTGACCAGTTTGAAACAGCGTGACTGCAAAGCCCACTCTGTCCCCCTCCTCACCTCTTCACTCACTAAGCTGATATCTCCAGACTTAGAGCATCCTTCTGATCAGGCATTCTCATTCGCTTGCTGGGCTTCTAAACCATCTGGACGCTGGGCTGTTTAATCTTTAAATGGAAGCAAGGCAGATTCTGCTTCCAAATGCAAACTTCAAGTACTCCTGTCTTCATTATCAAGTGGTTGACCATAGACAATCTAATAACCATCACTGATTGAATCCACTGTATGGTAATGCCCAGGATGTTTGTCCCTGCATTGTGAAATATATTTTATAGGTTTTTTTTTTTTTTGTCATTACACTGGTGGTCTGGTCCATTCACTGTATTTATTTTGATTTTGGCTAGTAGAAGAAAACTGTTCAACATTTTGTCTTTTTGTTAAAATGCCTTCAAGAGAATCGCAGCTAAAATATGTCAAACCTGCTTCCCATCCCAGAAAGCATGAAAGCCAGCAGCCGGATCTGCTGGCTACAGCTCTGGGGATGAAAGTAAACTCTCAAAAGACTTCTACAAACGTCTGGCAACCACTGAAACTCTTTGCTTATTCACAGTTAACGTCACTTGTGAGAAGAGCAACGTTAAAGGAAAATGAACAGGTTCCCAAGTACGAGAAAATCCATAATTTCAAGGTAAGACTGTTGCATGTTTTTGTTTTTTGTATTTCCTGTTGCAATCCAAAAAAAAAAGTTTTTGTTTCTTTTGATTTACCTTAGTCTGCTGTTTATAGGGTTGTTATATGGTATATAGAACTACATGTCACATTGTCACTTTTTAACTACACTCAATGTGGAAGTTATTGCTACAGCATTAGACTGTATAGAATTCTCTCTGCAATCTGTTCATCAAATAAACAAACCTAACCTACAGCATTCCAGCTGGGGCTTTGGACTTGTGGTCCTAGCAATCATGGCAACAATGGACAGTTGCGGGGTCTTTGTCATCTGTCAAGATACATCTGGCTGTGTATATCCAGCCTTCATGTTTTATGAGGAGGATAACGTAAAAATCAGAAAAGTTGGTTACAAGTTAAAGTTCCCCTAAACAACTGTGGGTGGTCAGACGCGCTTGTGTTTTAAATCACAGTTATGGAAGCCTTATAGAAGTTTGCTTTGTCTCTTTATCTTGGACATGGAAATTTAAGCATCTCTGGCTTTTTGAGGAGCTACAAGTGCCAGCATGCTTTACCAGCCACTGGCTAACATGGAATGCAGGCACTTGTGTTGCCTTAACACCTAGAGAGCCATAAGCTGCACGTGCCCTTTTTAAACTCTTGCAGAGACTTTCCTTAAATGGAACGTGACGGATACCTTGCCTGTTTTTGAAGGGTCATTTGCACAGTCATGATTCTTTAACATGCTTCATTGATTACTCTACCTGTCTTACAAAATTGATATTTAAAGGTATGACAGAAAAAAATGTTTTTCAAATAGGGTTGTTGTTTTTTTATATATGGCCCAATATGCCCGTGTATTTTTGACGTATTGGCTGTGTCCTTGAAAATTAGTTATCTACTGTTCCCCCATGTCAACAAGCAATGCAGTCCTTTGCCAATGTGTACTTTGGATGCCTTAAGAACATTTACAAATGCAAGTGATGAAAACTAAAATTTGACAAGCTGGTAAAAGAGTTGATAAAGCATAAGGATAATTTTGTACATGGAGTGCAGAGGAGCATATAGATGTATTTACAACTTACTTTTGTATTTTTTACACTTTAAATTAATTTTATTACTTTAAAGGTCAGTGAGTCATAAACGCCTGCTTTGTATTCTTCTGGGACTTTAAAATATTTGCTCCAGAGTTTTGAGGGCCACTGACCATTAGGACTGCAGCAGGAGTTCTAAGACTTCATGCTGTTGAAAGCAGAGCTGGATACTTGTTCAGCTAAGAATACGAATCTTTGGATTTACCCAACTGGCATCTATTCATAATAATTTGTACATTAGCATTTGACACCCAAAAACCAACACTAGTAGTTCACAGCATGTGTCTGTCAGCGCTAAAAACAAATTACTGTATCCTCCACATGCCCTGAACCTTAACCCTTACTTAGTGTATTAACTAATTACTTTTTTTGTTTACCCCCCCCCTCTTCCCCACTAGGAAGATGAACTCTGTTTGTCCTGATGACCACATTCACTAGGACTTAAAGGGTAAATCCAAAATTGAGTTGTCACCACAACAGAAGGGGAAGTCTTCCAATGGGGACACTTGTTTGGTGACAACAGTGGGGATTTCCTCCATTGTCTTCCATATCCTGTTGTCTGTGGGGCAGGAAAGCATGGAAAATCCCTAAAGAGGCACAGATTGCAAAAAACATGACATGTCTATCCATGGTGGAAAAAGAAAATAATTTTGACTTTATTCCAACCGTTATGCTGGCCCTGGGACTTAATATACCCCTCATCTGAGCCCTCAAATTTCACCAAACCCCTCAGATTAACACCTATTTTCTTCCCTAACTCCTAAACACTGGAATGTTAAAACCTAGCCTTTAAATCCCTGAATCCCAGCCTTTACCTAACCAGTTCAGATCCATGCTTATTATGTCAGACACCAAAAGTACCAGGCTAGGCACCCAAGGACAAGAGTTTAACTTTTAAATGACCCTTTTGTGTGTTCTTATTATACAAATGCAAAACACACCCCAGGTCATAATCCTTGCCAATGTTTTAGCTGTATGCTTTCCATATAGGTTTGAATGGGAAGTTCATCCTACCTAAAGCGAGGTTTACTAAACTAATACTCTTCCATCCTTACTTGCCTCCACATCATCACACTAAATTTAGAAGTTAGTCAAACCCCATATTGATCCACAGGAGACCTTCACAGAACATTTATTCCCTCTCTTAAATGTTTTAGGTTTTAATCAATAAATGTGTTTGTTCTGCACCACAAACTTCAAGAATACCTAGCCTTTCCACTGATCACTCAATAAAAATGAAGCTTCCAATCAGTTTGTGGCTGTTTAAGTATTGCATTCTGTATGAACATATGCTTTCCTATGCAGATCAGCCAGATGGTCTTGTGTTCTTGTCTGGCTTTACTGTGGGATTAATGAAGTGGCCTCACTAGCTAACAAGTGTCTATTCAACACAATGACACTGACAGATCCTCCCTTCAGTGTTATTTAGGTTACGTTTTCTCACGATCACAGGGATGAGTTCTAATCCAAATCTGCATGCACATACTCTGAATCTCTGTGGCACATTTTCATACTGTGCTCCTGTGCATCATACGTCAGCCTCTTCAATGTAATGATAATAGCCGATGCCAAAGGAGACAGCTGCTAGTGTGTGGAATATGAAGCTCCCGCTGGAGCCTAATACGTGTTGGCACAGATATTATCAAACACGTTTGAACACCATTATTGTCACTATATGCAATTGTATGATTAGTATGTTAAAATGAATTCTGCTAGACACTGTTTGCATCTAAATTGGTCCATTCCTATGTTTTTCTTCTACAAGTAACTATGTGTGGCCCCTCCTTCATAGCACAACAAAGTTGAGCAGTTTTGAACCAAGGAGGAAATATGAACCCCCCTGCGTTAAAAAAAAAAAAAAAAAAAGTTGGTGATAATTGGTTGCATTTAGTAATTTTATCATCTACTCATTGTAGACTATCTTGAGCTTGCTTTAAGGCACCCATATACATTAAATTACAGTCTCCAAAAGAGTGAAGTGGTTGGAGAAGGCAGGAGAAGTGAACAATCTAGGTCCAAAATAGCAGATTTGTAAAGATTCTCCAATTCAGCTCACTTTCCAGTTCAGCTATGTTGTTCTGAATTTGTTCACTTCTCCTGCCTTCTCCAAACTCTTCACCCTTTTGTGAATAACCCTGTAAATAATGACTGTTGTTTTCCCCAGCACTGGGACTGCCTGGACAAAGTTCCCTCTTCCCCCCTCCGTTACCCTAAACAGGAGGGCTTGTAATGCTGGGCACACACCTTACAACCATGTAAGGTTGCAACCATGTAACCAACATGGTTGTAAGGTAATTAAAAAAACGTACGATCTGCCTATCTTTGGACAGGCAGATGGTACTTGCGATGATCGCAAACCACCCCCCCCAACCCCCCCCCCCGCTGAGGAGCGGGCTTCTGATGACCGCGATGCTGAACGGGCAGTGTGCGCTTGCGCACACCGGCCCGTGCTGCATTTATCTTACGAACATGCCACACACCCGCCGACAATAGTACGATTCTCGGCGGGTTTTCGAACATGTTCCTAAGATAAAAGTTGTGCGACCATACAGTAGCAGAGGTCGCACGCCTTCCACACACCTTGCGATAATCGTACGATCGCGGGATTTCCCGCGATTATCGTACAATTATCGCAAGTTGTGTGGGCACCTTTAGACTAGTGTTCCTGTTTAGAGGAGAAACTGGCCCAGGGGGCATCATGAAAAAGTTGGACCATGCATGTTCTGACATTCACTTAAGATTCTGGGCCAGCTTTTTTTTGTCTTACAAGCAGAATGCTCCAAAAAAAAGTAGAATATTATATAGTATTATAAAGTAAAATATTATAGTATAAATATGTATTGGATTCACTTTATATATGATATATTGACCTTTTTTGTGCCTGGCCTGGGTGTTTTCCGTTCTCTTCTACTTATATCTATATCACCCTGCGCTGCATCTCTTTATGATAAGCTTGTCCTGTTATAGGCTGAAGTTCTTTGTCATTTTTATTGATCTGACAGCCAGAGGCTTTCGTAGGGCAATGAATATAAATGCACTCCCTTTCCCTCTGGCAGTAAGGAGATTGAAAATATGCTGATTGTTGACTCACTGTCTGCAATAGAAATCCTCTATATAATCACTTTTTATGCTGCCCTGTGTTTTTGAGTAATGCCTTGATTTCTATTATGTCCTCATACATATAAAGTGAAGCTACTCGAGATTGCTTTAGTAAGAACTGTTCAGACGTCTGTTGAGAAACACTTAATCCTCTTTGTGAAAAGATGTTCCACATGCATGTTACAGGCAGTAACATAGACTTGTCAGACTGACGTTGAAGAACGATGTTTAGGCTCTAGTCAGCATATTCCAAGGAGCAAAGCATCACCGTATATGTGCCAGCTCATTGAACCTTTGAGGTGGACCATGTAATTTATGAACACTGTTTAAAACCTCTAAATACATGGTTGATATACATAAATGTAAACTCGTTTACTTGCCAAAAGGTTTTTGTTCAACCAGCCTATGACTATATTGTCAGTTTTTTCAAACATTATATAGTGTAGTGCCAACCTCATTGGAAAAGGCAATAGGGAACTGCAGAAAAAATGAATAAAATGCACATTTGTCTGATAAACGTATGTGTGTGGGCAAACGATTTTCTTTTCTTTCTAATGGTCCCTTGTGTCTGTTTTAGGTGCACACCTTCAGAGGCCCCCACTGGTGTGAATACTGTGCCAACTTCATGTGGGGCCTGATTGCTCAGGGAGTAAAATGTGCAGGTATGTGTTACCCACTCTATTTAAATGCCTTTTAATGTTTCATTCTCTATTGTGTTTTAATCACGTAAACTTTTTTGAACAATACAGTGGGGTATTTCCACATCAACTCATCCCATTAACACCTTAGAAACTATATCCTCAAACAAAACTAAGGGGGCTAAAATAAATCCTCATTGCACACAAGTGGAATATAGTAAAAAGTGACAGGTACAATTTTTGAAAACTATATTGGTCATCATTAGTCTATGTTGTCATAGCACAGTAAGAGGACAGCATTCACTGAAGACTCCACATGCACCTGCAGTGTGGGGCAGTAAACATTTCTCCTATGGCTCCTCAAATCAGCTCCGCACCATTTGGATGCTTTTTGTGTGGATTACAAAAGACAAATTGGTTAAAATATCGAGAGGGTTTCTACTTTACCTCTAGACCAGTGGTTTTCAACCTGTGTAACCTCAGGACCCACATTTTTCCTCGGTCAGGAAGTCACGACCCAAGTCGCACTGCAATGGAACGCACAGCAGTGTGGGCTGCTGTGCTGTGATGGAGCTCCATCCATATGTGCATTGCCTGTGCAGCTCACATGTGCGCCTGTTGAGGTGCCAGGAGCCAGAATGTGATGTCAGTCCAGGGACCTCTACAGCACACGCGAGGGAGCTTTAAGCAATGCACGTATGGAGGGAGCTCCTTCGCAGCCATAACCACACCCCACCTCAAGTCAACACTCAGCGATGGGCAGCATATTTAGAATGATTGCTTGGTGTAAGAATGGACAGCGCTGCGCTAGGGGGCGGCTACGAGGGGGCTTAGAAACCTCTCACCTAGAAAAGTGGAAGGCATGTGGCGACCCACTGAATACGGGATCGCGACCCACTTTTGGGTCACGACCCACCAGTTGAGAACCAAGGCTCTAGACCTAACCTTTCCTCTCGAGTGTCTTGGTAGAAAAAAAAAAGTCTGTTCCTGCTCAATTCTACCTCATACATCACTATTAAGTCTAAGGCTACATGCTGAGCTTGAGTTTTTAGAGTCAGTTTTTGAGCTTTTTTTTGTGCGTTTTACAGGTTTATTAAAGCTTGAGATTTTTTGTTTTACCCAATAGAAAGTTAGGTACTAGGAGAAACAGATGGTGGTTTAGGCTTGAAAAGCCTTTGTCAAGCCAGTGAAGTCTGTGGGGCCAAAAACACCCCATTATGCTTCAAATGTAACTCGTGCACCTTTTTAAGCTTCAGGCATCAAGCTAGAGGTGCCTGAGTGCTCACCTGTGAGCAAGCAAAATGTAAAAGCCTGGAATTTTGGTTATTGAATCTTTGAGCTTCAAGCTACAAAACACTCAGGTGCCAATCAGGGTTAAAATACATCAGGGTGACTCAAGAACATGTTGCTGGTGTAGCACATGTGGAGTAGAAATGGATGGTTCCAAGGATCTAAATAACAATAGAAGTGTATTCCTGGTGTGCAATCTGTGTAACAGCATAATGTTGAAGTGAAATTCCAAGCAAACACCTCTCTTCCAAAGTGGGGGTGTGGGGAGTGGCCATGGTTTGTTTACAGCATAGTTATTTGGCATGGTCCTTTTAGAACTTTGGCATTGTTAAACACAGCATAGAAAAATCTGTACTTCCCCCTATTAAAGTAAACCATTTTGTTCCCATTACTATTTTCAGCCAGCTGCCACTTTCCCTATTAAAGGCTTAATATTTATCATGTTATAGGATGAAGACTTCAGTATGTACCTGGTTATTGGGTCATAGTGCTGACTAGTTTGAGAACTGCTAGTATATGGGTATGATTTTTTTTTCTTCCAGTTTTAGCAAATATATGTAAAGGTCACGAAAAGGTGCATAGATGTATGGGCACCTTGTACAAGTAATATATAACAAAAGAGCACATTGCCATGTGCTGCAGATCAAGGGATAATGCTAATCTATTTTATTTCACTGCACCATCTGTGTGTTTGTGTTCCAACCATACAGCACATCTACTTTGACCCTGGGACAGTCCTAAATGTTCCACGTTTTACTGAAAAGGAAATCATTCATTAAAAATTAGGGGCATTAATTTTTTTTAGATTCTACAGGTACATCAATTTGGTACGAGCACCATTATTTGCATGTTCAGACACTCTATCCTCAGGTGCAGCGGATATAGGAGGTGGTGAGCTCCGCTGTCACACAGCATTGAAATGGCTGAGGAGTTATGCGAGACTGCGGACAGTGCCTGATGGGGAAGCTGAGGGACTAGCTCATCAAGCTCCACCTACTGTCAGCATCACTGGTTGTTAAGGATCCTGGTGACTGTGTAGTCAAAAAATTATGACCATGGCCATATGTGGGTAATGATGGCCAGAATATCCAACCCCTTTATTTACAGCCAGCTGGGGAATGTACTGGCTGCCAGCTGAGTGGAGCCGGGGATATGTCTTTGCAGGAAGCTGTCAGATTCATGATGGCTTCCCAGCACATGCATGCCACCCTACCTGAATTTGTCACAAGTATCGGTAAAGCTACTGAAAATGGTGACTGGGCTTTTTTGAATTGGGTTTAATCAAACCACCTTTTCTGTGGTCTTTTAGAAAACCCATAAATGCTCTGTCAATCATTTCACATGTGTACCCTATGTTAAATGCTCATTTGTGAAATGATTGTATAAAAATAGTACCGTATTTGCCGGCGTATAAGACGACCCACCACTTTTTGTGTTTAAAATATAGGTTTTGGGCTATACTTGTCGTATAAGACGAGTATAGCCCAAAATAATGTTTAAATGCACCCACTAACCTGCATGGCGGTATTCCCGAGTGTGGCTCGGGGTTAATTTTCAGTACCATAAGCGGTAACCCCGAGCCACACTCGGGATTACAGTCTCTTACCTTGTCCACGATCCCCGCAGTGTCCTTCATCTTCCGGGTTCCGTCCTTCAGCTACATACAGTATACCGCGCTGAGCCTATCACGGCAGGCTTTGTATTCATTAATACAGGCTTTGTATTCATTAATACAAAGCCTGCCGTGATTGGCTCAGCGCGGTATACTGTATGTAGCCGAAGCTACATATGTGTATACCCGGCGTATAAGACGACCCCTGATTTTCAGGCGATGTTTTGGGGGTCTAAAAACCCGTCTTATACGCCGGCAAATACTATACTTTATAAACTGATGTTTAATACCATTTTTATAAGGGATGCGCACCGATATATCGGCCGCCGAAACATATCGGCCGAAAATTGCACTTTTGGCATAATACTGAAAGTGCCTTTTTCCTGCCGATACAGCGGCGCATCCATTCTTTTTTTCCTCCCCTCTGGGCGCTGCTCTGTGTCCCAGCGGGGAGGAGAGAAAGTGTGACAGCCGGCCGAGAGCTGCTGGAGGAGAGTGCTGTGAGCGGCCGGCATCTCCTCCCACACCGCTCAGCCTCCTATCACAGTCCGGCAGAGCGGTGTGTGGGCGGAGACAGGCCGCACTGTCATAGGAGGCTGAGCTCTCCTTCCCGCATCGCTCGCTCAGCCTCCTGTGACAGCGTGTCAGGAAGGAGAGCGGGTACAAGCAGTCAGTGGTCGCTGAGTGTTTGTAGATAATTAAGGACATGGTATGTTGACTATAGCCTCAATTATGAATGAATGGGAAGTGATCTACATCACCTCCTGTTCATTCATAGTTGTCGTTATAGTAAACATACTCTGTTCTCATGTTATGAATGAACAGGAACACTCATAGAGGATTGCTGTTCATTGATAACAGGGGATAGAGGAATTTGTGTCCTCAATCTCTTTTTCTATTTTAAAAGGGAAATATCAGGGGTCTCTTTAGACCCCTAATATTTCCCCGAAGCCCCTAAAAGTAAAGTAAAAAATACAAATATTTAATAAAAAATAAATCAATAAATATAAAAAATTAGTTTATATAAAAATAAAATATTTAAAAAATTTGAAAACGTTAAAATAAAAAACATTTTCGGTTTCGGCCTGACAATTCTTTTTACTTTGGTTTTAAAATTTCCATTTCGGTGCACCTCTAATTTTTATGTCAAAATGTTAAAAATATTTAGAAAAATGACTACAATAATCTCAGAAGACAACGGTTGTACTCAGGGCATATAGGTGCACATTGTCTTTAGTTAAGACAACATAATCTATGCTAACCTGTGCCTAATGAAGCATTCCCATAAAATCTGTCAAGTCTGTGGACCTTGAGGCAACCCAGATGGTTAGATCCTATTCCAGCGGCACAGAGAGCGTAAGATTATTAATCCTTTTCATAGACCTTATAGTGAATGAGCCATCTGCAGTTAACGGTTCAGTAGTAATGTCAGGTGAGGTGGAATCATTAATTCCAAAGTTTACTCATGTATGTAACATAAATGTGTTCACATTTTATTCAGTCCATGCCGTTGTAGGTCATCTTTTAAATATTGCATAGAAACTGTTTATGCCTTAAATAGTGAAGGGTTTTTGCCAGCTGTATACTGAGATACTCTATATATTAGCCAGCAACATGCAAGATACAGATCTTATAATGCATTGTTACTGCTTCATGCTATTTAAGGCTTTACTTCATTTTTGGTTATGAGAAGGGTAGCAACCAATCCATAGTCATCTTTTGTTCTAATTGTTCAGAGGTAATGGGAGCGAACATCTGTTTTATTGTTATGGTTAACTGCACCTTGCTACTATTTGTACTTTACTATTAGATAAGCAACTCATTTTGGCTCAGTAAAGTTTATATTTTGCAGACACTCGCATTGCTTTACCTTTTTTTAAGTTTGGTACCAAGCACCTATATGCTTTTCTTGTGTTTACCTGATGATATATGTTGAGATGCAGTCAAATTAATTGCCTATCATTTTTCAGACCCTATTTGGGTCATCACATCTCAACATGAACGGAGATGGTTTGTTTGTTTGTTTGCTGGGGTGACCCAGAACATTTAAACTGTTTTATGAAAAGTGGAGTCAGAATGCAGTTGTTACGCATAACAACTGTTCAGTCAATATTTTAATTTCCTTAGAGAATGGAAGTTGACATGGAAATGAGCTCTGGTATTTTTTCTTCTGTCTTTTGAAGGTCAAGACTGAAAGGTGTAACATTGGAAACTTTTTTTCCTAAAATAATTGATTTCCCAAAACAAAAATTGCAGACAGAGTAATTTGACATTATTCGTTATACAGGTTCTCTCGTCACTTATGTCATGGAAAATGTGGTGTGTGCAAGCGGTGTATCTAGTTAAGTCTTGTATGAAATGTTAAGTGTTCATGATTACGTGCTGTCATCCTTCAGTTCTCAGCCTTGTGACAGCCTTCTATGTACGTCTCTATGTTCCTTCTGACTAGAGCGTGCTATTTTACAATATGACTCATGACCAGCATCCCAAATCATTGAAGCCTCCAATTTGCCATTGTACCTGGATGTTCTAAAGCTGTCATTTTCTACATTTGTTATCGTTAAGTTCAGACTAAATGTGCATTTTCATTTGCAAACTTTCAGCATGAATTGCTGAATGCCTTTCATTTTCGATTGAGCTGTCTGGTAGGAAAAGTTTTTTTTTGTTCCTTGTAAGGTTAGGCATGTAACGGCAACAAAAGCCTCTCAGTGCACACTACACTCACCCCCTTTCAATAAGCATGTGGGCACACAACTAGTCATTGCTCTTAAGCTGACATCTAGTATTAGGGATTTTCTGTTTAAATAGAGGAACAGGAATGTACCAATAATATATGTATTGATGTACAGATGAATAGAATAAACGTTTAATTTCCATGACCTTTGCTTGGGACAAAAAAAAATCTGAATTTTGTTCCAATATGTTTTTGTCTTTGTTAATGTTTTTATGGTTTCAAAATTCCCTTCCTTTACAGTTTTTGTATTTCTGTTGTAGATTGTGGTTTAAACGTTCACAAACAGTGTTCTAAGATGGTTCCTAACGACTGCAAGCCGGACTTGAAACACGTGAAGAAAGTTTACAGCTGTGACCTCACCACATTAGTTAAAGCACACAACACGAAGAGGCCAATGGTAGTGGACATGTGTATAAGAGAGATAGAGTCTAGAGGTGAGATCTTGCATAAATATATCTCTCTGGGGTAGCATAGTGTGACAAGGTCCTGGTTTCTCATTCCCTCCAGCGACATCTAACATCAAGTTGATATGGTTTTTCTGGTTGGTTTCCTTTGGATGCCCTGTTAGTTAGAATGGGACTTATTGTACAAAAGTAATTTTTTTCACCCTGTGAAGCTCTGACCCCTTTCTAATGATCTTTTTGGCAAGTCCGCAACATACCCATTGTGCAGCAAAGCCCGCAAACATACATAATTATGAACGATTCATAGAAACAAGGTTTTTACCTTACTTTTGTTTATTCCGTTATAGTAGAACTTGCTGTTGGTTGGCTGTCTGCATTGTATTCAGAGTTGCACACCTTTAGCTCGTCAATCAACATTTGGCCACACTTAGCTCTACCTTCTGCTGTCTGGATTAACAGCTCTGGCTCTACTGCTAGCCTCCTATTGTAGACTGCAGTGTCTGGGATTGGGAGCATGTACAGAGGGGTACAAATAAAGGAGGATTTGGCTCACCTGGGGTAGGTGAAGCAAGTTTTTTTTTTTTTTTTTTCCCCCCTACTTTGAGGCTTGTGCATGACATAATAACTTGCGACCTGGTTGGATGCTGCAACAGAAGCCTTTAAATGTACTTTAGGAGATTATACAATACAGTACACATTTAGATTTATTTATTTTTTTAAAGCCACTCAACAATGTCAGCATACATTGTGTACAGTATATCTGTAGCTATACTGTGCACGAACACAGTATAACAAAAAATTAGTTTTGATGTCTTGCTTTGCAAATTATGGTTTTCTTTATCTGTTTATTTTCTTTGACAGGCTTGAATTCAGAAGGACTGTATAGAATATCAGGTTTCACCGATCTCATTGAAGATGCCAAAATGGCGTTCGACCGAGGTAGAATATAAAATACATATTTAAAAATGTGTAATGTAGTCATGTCATCTGCCGTTAATTGTTGGGGAGTTTCTGTCCATACTGGTATCAGTTCTTCTGTTATTTGCAAAATGATCGGTTTGCTGGTCTGTACTTTTGGTACGGTGTGACCTCCTGTGCATTGTTCAGCCTCTGCCAAACCAGTCATTACAAAATCTCTGTAACATACAGATGTTCTGCACTTTGGCCACAGGCAGTGAGCTATAATGGTGCTAATGCATGTTATATGTTGCCTTATTAGTTCATCTTAGTGTTGCTTATTCTACCTACCTGTGTCCTTTTTAGCAACAGGAAGCTGATATCAAGACAAACTAAGTTACTTAAACTAGATTTAATAAAAAAAATTGAGTTATTCTAAATGAATGCATAGCTGCATCAACTGGCAATATGATATCTGCCGGGAGTTCAGCAGTTTTAAAGATAAAAGTTCTTGTTTATTCCTTGCCTTTGCAATGGGTGCTGGGGCAAATCATCTCCTAAAAAGCTTTGAGTGTGACTGGTATGCAACACTTCTGGGTGTGTTTGAGAGCTTTGTTTCCTCCCACAAGTCGCTACATCACTACTGTGTCCTATAGTAAAGTACTAGCTGGGGGTACCAGGTATCAGACAAACTTGGGAGTGCCTAATATCACCCATAGCTCTCCGTGGCAGTAAAGATTAGGTTTTCTGCCTGCTGGATAGGTAAGTATTAAAAATCACCTTTTAAAGGGTGTCTGTGACTAAATGTATCTGCCGTTGCCAGGGTTACGTTGCACAGCCTTAAACCTGATTTAATGTAGTTTCACATAGCTTATGATGACTGCTTTTCTGTTTCAGATGGTGAGAAAGCTGATATATCTGTAAATGCATATGAAGACATTAACATTATAACTGGTGCACTAAAACTGTACTTCAGGGAGCTGCCAATCCCACTGATCACATATGACGCATATCCCAAGTTCCTTGATTCTGCAAGTAAGTATATGCACTGCGTTCAACAGTAGCCTAATTTTTATTGGCATTTCTAGGGAAAATTTTAATCTCTGTTACAGACTTCCCCATACAGTAACATGGTTTTCCCTCCTTAGCCCCCAATATCTCTTGGGATAGAGAGCTGCATTTGCAGGCTTCACGTCCATTGTCATTTTCTAGTGAAAACTGTTGTTATGATAACACATGTTATTTTTCCATGGGGAGAAGTGCATTTTACTCAACAAACTCTAGATTGCTAATTAATGGAAGCAACAGTGTTCCATTAATGTTCATGGGGGCTATATGTGATGGAGAGCCCTTTACTTTAGTATGCATTGGGTTGGCTGGTACTGTAGCAAGGATGTCAAATCCGAATGATGTACACCCCAGTGGACAGTGGGAAGCCTTTCAGGTTACTATATTGGGGGGCTCCTCATATTATTACTTAGAGGGGCCTAGTCACAATGTGGAGCCCCTTAATGTTACCAGGTGAAGAGGGACCAGTCACAATGGGGAACCCTTCATGTAGGAATGTTTAAATACCAAGTACCGCACTTGGCTGATACTTTTCCAGCTCCAGGACTAGACTAGAGAAAAACGCAGGAGGCAGCTGTCATTTTTAAGGATCATTGGCTACGGGTAAGATACCAATTACTGATACATTTTTGTTTAGTGTCATGTGACACATTTTCTAAAACAAAACAGAGTAATGATTTCAGGACAGTGGTGGAGCGCCAGGACCCAGTCGCAGCTGCAACCCCTGCAATCCTGGTAGTTCTTTTGAAAATGGCAAGTATCGGCAATGGTATATGAACTGGTATTTTAAGATCCCTACCTTCATGTTACTATGTGCAGAAGCAAGGTACTTTTCAGTGAAATATCTTCTTTACATAGATGCTGCCATCAGAGGAAGGGCAAATATAGGTAGAAGTTAGTAAAAGGAAACCAGTACCACACCTCCTTTTAAATGCTGGTTTCCTTGCAGTCATGCTAGCGTGTAAGGCCTGGTTTCATCTCTGAATTGCTGCTGACACTGTCCTTCCTTCTGGTGGGTGGATACTCTTGTTCCCCATGGTCCCTGTGTGTGTGTTATAAAGTAGCCACCACTCCAAGCTCGCTCCCGTGACTACAATCTCACGTTTAGTTTAATAATTTATGTTGAGATTGTAGTCCATCACAGGAGCGAGCTTGGAGAAGTGGCTACTTTTCAACAGACACAGGGACCATGGGGAACAAAAGTAGCCACCCTCCAGAAGGAAAGACAGTGTCAGCACCAATTAAGAGGTGATTTGAGGATCTACAGCCGAGTGATACACAAATAAGATACATTTTTGTTAAAAATTAGGGTACTTGAATGTATATTTAAGATTTAACCCCTGAGTTAAGCGTCACTTCAATGAGTTTTGTGAAAGATTCTTTAAAGTGTACTTTTGATGGGAAAAATAGTTTGAAAGCTTTTCTCTTGGTGGCTTGTGATAGTCGGAACCTCTTGTCAAATTGTATTCTCTTTCTCCACATCAAAGAGACTTCAGATTTTGTCGGAGACGTGATAGGAAATGAATGCGGTAAGCTTTTTGAAAGGGTTAATTAAGTCCTTTATTGTCTCATCCAGAAGCCGTGGACCCTGACGCACAGTTAGAAGCTCTTCACGAAGCTTTGAAGCTGCTACCTCCTGCACACTGTGAAACACTGCGATATCTCATGGCCCATCTGAAAAGGTAAAGCACTCTCAAAGCTTTGAATTCTGCAGTCATTTTGAGATTCTGCTTCAGGGAACATCTATTGTTGAGCTCTTTCCAGTTCTTTCTTCAGTAGTAAGAAAGGATGCCATGCCCATTGGCAGTGAATCTGGTTTTCTCATTGCCAGGCTCCCAAGTCTCTTAGAACATTAGATGCCAATTGGTCACACTGTGCTACATGATACAGTCACCATAATCCCTTTTCTTTATCGTGTACAGCAGACCCACTCCAGAGGATGTGCTGCAGACAAGATAACAGAATTAGTCAATGCAATTATTGAAATAAAATTACCTATTTTACAGTACACATCTACAAATACGTTTTACATGAGCCCAGCTTACCTTGGTAGTTCAGTTCACACAAATAAGTGTTTGGGATTTTGATGATTTGCACATAAAGAAATATACTTAAGTCTCTGCACACCCCAGCCAAAAAAATCCATTCCAGCTTGGGTACAAAAATAATCTTTTTCAAGCACTTTGATGAATAAGTTCAAGTTTGTAAAGCCAACAGCATAAAATGTCAAATTTCATTTTGGCAGCATGGATTTTGAAGCAGGTTTAGGGCGCTGATAATTTGGCACTTTAAAATGTGGGTGCCTGAACCTTTAGTAGCATTCCATTTTTGGAATAATCGTGTTATTGATGCTTTTATCGCAGAAATAGTATTCAAATGTTCCCAGAGGGGTAGGGTTATTATTAGAGGTTAGGTTGAGGTTAAGAGCTTATGTTCAGTTCAAGGGTCAGTTAGGGACTTGGTTGTGAAGCATTTTTTCAGTTGCAGCAATGGCTATGTTACATTAGCGGCCCTAGTGATCCTGGCTGGTGGCAACTCCCCAGCAACAATATTGCTAAGGAGATATACTACGGCAGGGCTCAAAATTTCAAGTCCTGAGCTACTAGCCAGGCACCCTGGATTTCCACTTGCCCCCACGCAATTTTCACTCGCCAATTGTGAGGGGGCGAGTGGAAATTTTGAGCCCTGTACTACGGTATAACTTGCTCACTTGCTGAAATACTAGAGAATTTGCCCACCATAGAGGGAAAGCACCTCACTTGTATGGCTAGTGAGGGAACAATGCAGTAAGAACTGGTGAGTGATCTCTTAGTGGCCTTCCAATTGTTTCCCCATGGAGATTAGAAACACCCTGCCTGTTTTTGTGAGGTTTTTGTGCAGAAGTGGTCTGTTCCCTATGTGGATCCAGCCATTTTGGAACAAGGTGACTGGCATACTGGTGGAGGATGCACCTACCATTAAGGATCCAGCCGATAAGCGGTTGGAAGCCATTAAGGTCTTGGCGTTTTTTTTTACCTTAATGCATTCTCTGCATTAGGGTAAAAACGGCCCAGGACCTTTTTTCTACCCCAGTCCCCTCCACACTTACCTGTCGGCTGTGCTCGTCCCCGCCGCCGGTCCCGAAGCGATCCTCCGTTCCCTGTACTTCCTGGTTGAAGGGGGAGGATACTGATGGCAGTGGAGCCATAGGCTCCTTCTGCCATCAATCAAAGGGGAAGGGGCGTGGTCTGCCACAGGGCTGTGTGTGTCTATGGACGCACACGGCCATTGTGGAAACGAGCGCGCACGGGTGCCTCCATTAGAACGATGGTGGCACCCATGCAGGGGGGCGGGGGTAAGATCGCTGCGGGAACCCACTAGAAAACAAGGAATTAAAACTTTTTTCTTTTTTTTTTTTTTTTAAAGCAACAGCATCCAGCAAAGGAGGGTCTCCTTAAAGGAGAAATGTAAAAATAAAATTAGGCTTTAATATCACTTTAATCTGTCTGGATTTCTTTAATCCCCTCCACAGAGGCACTCAGACTGTAAGAGGGATGACCAGCACTTATAGCCCCATGGCTCCATTGCTTTGCTCAGTCCTGTTTGTAAGCAAGTATATAGGATGGCAGAGCAGATGGATAACCTGTTCATTATGCTGCTGCTCATTCCTAAGGCAAGCTGTATTTAACTAAAAAGAGCTCCATGTCCTGACTGTGTTGTCTGTCCTGTTATTTGGAAGCCCCTTATCTGTCTGTCCCCCCTGGTTTAACTGGACTGGTTTGGGGACGGAAGACTGATGACATCTATCTCAAAAGATGCACCTGAAAGGGCTTGGCGATACATGATAAGGGAGTGCTGGGGAACTATTTGCAAGAGTTTGTTTTAAGATGTTTTTTTTTTTTTTTTTTTAATACATTGAGGGCCACCCATGGGAGCAGACCTTTGTTGGTTATAAAAAAAAAAATGTTTAAATCACCCAGAAAACCCATCCCCATAGCATTACCTAGACCCGTACCTGCATTCTAATAGTTGTTAAAGCTACAGCAATAGTACATTAGTAGATATGACACCCAAGGCCACCATTTATTTGTTAGAGTGCAAAATATAGACTGTAAGTATGCACGCTTGCATCAGCGTGACACTACTAATTAACACAATCCGGCCTCTCCTTTTGCTGTCAGACAGCCTCCGCTTCCTGTGCTCGCAAGTCCTTCGGCCATGACTTTGACAGAAATGAGATGGTGTCCTAGCAACACATAATAGGACCTTCCCATTGAATAATGTCACAGCCAGCGATAAACCCAAACTGAAAAGTACACAATGCTTTGGGGGGCATGAGGGGGGGGGCGGGGGTTGTTTGCATGTTCTGGTTTGCCTGCAGTGCCCTACAGATAACCCTTCATTTAGATGCACAGCAAGTATAATGAAATGTAATTTTGTATTCCCTGCAGGGTAACTCTTCATGAGAAGGACAATTTCATGAACGCAGAAAACCTTGGCATAGTGTTTGGACCAACTCTCATGCGGGCACCAGAGCTAGATGCCATGGCAGCACTAAATGACATCCGTTATCAGAGACTGGTGGTGGAAATGTTAATTAAAAATGAGGACATTTTATTTTGAACAAAAAAAAAAAGGAACTGTATTCCGGAAAATGAAGGATTGTTTTGCTGCAAAGATGGGCAAAAACCTTTCTGGCAAAGTCACTTATTTGAATTGTGCCTACATGTAGAAGAGGCAGCCATTTTGTGAGTGATTCAATGTTTATGAGACAGAGAAAGAAATAATGGTAACTAGAAGCATGTGAAGGAGGAAAGTCTGCTTTACCTATAGCAGCCAATCAACTGTTTTTCCTTCCTAATCTATGTACACCGCTTCTGCTTCAGGTCCCCAAAATAGCATCCTAGTATTTCTGGAGTCTCTTCATTGATCAGCTAAGCCATTTATCATGCTTAGTTTCACTAAGAAGCTTATAGTTTAGGGTTCCTAAAAACGGTAGTGGTTGGGTTCCCTGAAAAATATCACTGTTCTAACCTGCCCTAAAGCCTTTAAAGAGCAAACGAATGCTTACTTTGGACAACACACATGGGGACAACACCCTTTCAGCTACAAGGCCTACAGAAGTCTGAGGTACTTAGAAAAGATAGATTTTCAGTCATCAGTCACTAGTGATGTCATACCTGTGCACTTTACGCCTCAATGATATCATTAGTTCCTAGTTAATTGAAAAACTTCACGTCTTTTTTTTGTAACCATTTTGTTCAGTATAGACCTGTGTATTGGCGGGCTTTTATCTCCTCTTTAAGTCAACCTCCCCATAACCTGTCTGGGTATACTTGCTAATTGGTGGAATTGGAATACAGTGTTCAACATTATACTTGCCTATCGAGAAAAAACAATGATCCACAGCCATGACAAAGTTTTCCCATTCTAAACAAGTGGGATTGGCTAATAAGTGCTCACTGAGATGTGCACTGAACTGGGTCAGGAGAGAGACCAGTAAATCACCCAGAATAGTTGGCAGTCTGGGGAGGGTGCGTGCGTGCAGTCATTATTGCACGATTTGGCTCTGCAATGGACAATGTTGTACAAGGATGCCCTTTTTGTAAAAAAAAATTTGCATGCAGTTTCTTGCAGCATTCAATTGCAGTGGGCGTGAAAAACAGCATGCAGCATGTTTTATCCTGCTGTGAAATCTGTGCTCTGTATTTCAGTTGTAAGATCCATGGTAATGTCGCACAGGAAAAACACCATGACATTTTGATGTGACCGGACCTTAGAACTTGTGCTCATAACATACTCTTTCAGAAATATTTTTATGTTCCTCCACTTTAAGACTGCTTCCAACTGACATCACTGTACAGGTTTCTGCACATGAGTATTTGGAAAGCATTTTTGAAGGTTCTTGGGCCCAGTGGTTGAAATGTGAATTGAATTATACCAGGTAGTGTAGGTTGGTGTTTTCATTTGAGGCGCCACAATCACAATAATACAACAATAAAATCAGACAAACTTTATAAGTAATGACTGATGGTCAGATGCATCATATGCAAAGACTTCACACATTCTAAAGTGTACCTGATGTGACATTAGACCTGCCAAAGTATGGCTGTCATTTAATATTTGGTGCCCCCCCAGCTCCCTGCATATCCCTTTTAGTTTTATTAATGATCAGTCTGAGAGCCCCAAAGCCCGGGGTGATCTGGTATGCTAGTTTAGACCAGCTCTACTAATACTAATACTCCTTTTACCTTTCTATCGATGTGATGGACAACCTCCCTGGTGAAACAAAGGACTAATGCAAGACTAATAACCATGATAAATGATGTGAATCTCCTTACCAGAGAATGCCAGGGTTTGGAATCCCTGGGCTCCTCAGTACTCAAAGGAAGAAGCATTTTGGCAAGTTAGATGTCACCGCAGGTTTGCTTGGAATGCAATATAGTATTTCCTAAATGCTCCTGATAGTATTTATTTTTGTAGGTGCCGCTTACTTATTTTAAAATCTTAGGTCCATGTACATGAGCCCTAGTAGTAGTTTTGTGTGAAGTTCTCTCTCATGCACATTCTGATCCAGCCACCAAAATGGCTGCCTTTACTATGCGGAAGCTAAGGGTATCATTTAACATTACTTTTACTGTACACCAAACAGAAGCAGTTTTTATATTGTTTTAACCGTGGCAATCAATTCAATTGTAAGAGCAGTGATGTCCATTCTGTGCCATTACTGCTGGGTGTTTACAGTGTAACCAGACTTGTAAATGACTGCATGTATGTCTCCGTTTTTGTCGGAGATTTCTTCTAGCTAAACGGGTCGTGACTGTAAATCAGCATGTTATTCCTCCTGGAGTGAGATTATTGTGATTCTGCCTTTTATGTTCTGAGTAATGCGATTAGGATAATGATTTTGTGAAGCGGTTCTTATCCTTAATAACATTTGTATTGCACACTTTATTTTTTTTAGATTTTTTTTTTACTGTTGTCCAGTTTTTGTTGCATTATTTGCATCATTTCTTTTTTAAATCAAGAACGTGAGTTTTTATAATGTTTACTGACACGTTGGCGTGATGACGGCAGCTGCTGCTGTGTTTTATTTTTTTAAATGTGTTTTCATCAGGCATGCACCTATTAATTTATTAAACCTATGTTTTAGAAAACCTTCTGGCTTGTGTTCTCTTTGACTCTCTGCATCTCTAGAACAGAAGATTTCTATGTAATAATGGGATACACAAAAAAAGATGGGATGTAATTAGAACACTTACAAAAACTGAAGGAAAATTTCAGGCACACATTTACATAGAACTAAAAAAAACTCCTAGATTTGTAAAAAAAAAATTCAAATTAGAGATACAAAAAAAAGCTTTCTTTCTCGCCATTGAGGGACACAAGGGTTATACTGCCACCTACAGGAGGTTTGGACCATGGCAAGCAAAAATAAACCTATAGGCCAGCCCAAGATAACCCCTCCTACTACATGCCTCAGCTTTTTTTTTGCAAGTGTCCTTGAAGAATGGGTGTCTTTTCTTCAGCTCTGCTGTTGTAAAGACTAACCTGCTATTTTGCTAGCACTTTCTAATTTTATCTTTAGAAGAGAACTATGGGGTAAGTGTTTTTCCCCATAGTTCTCTTGAGGGTCACAGGAGGACATATACTAGCATCCTCCCGTGACCCAAAGCTCAGTAGCTCCCTGTATACTGAGACCGCTGCAGGCGGGACGGATCCGGCAATGTTGTCGAGATCCACCCAGCTGCGTGAATGCCAGTTGGCTCTGCCTATCTATAGGCAGACCCAGCTGTGCCCACCCCCTCCCCCGTCTGTCCCTCCATTCAGCACTGGAGGAGGGGGGGAATCCCTGCAGGGAGCTGTGACTGATAGTCACTGCTCTCTGCAGGGAGATGAACGAGATGTGAGCGAGTAACGTTAGGTGTTCGCTCACTTTCCGATCTATTGCGCCAATGTTTAACAGTTTAATTGTCACACGTCGGTTTGAACTATGAGGATGAGTGATTTTCACTCACCTCATAGTTCTTTAAATCAAGTCTCTTCTCTACATTAATGCTGGCGTTTTCTCTTCAATTGCAGCTATCCAGCATGGTCAACCTCAATATGGCATTTGGAGTACCGCCTCCAGAACCTGAATAGCCTGGAAGTGACCTTCAGGCACTGGGTTCCACATGGGGCACTTTCCAGGCTCTATTACTGATAAGTGTCTCTCGCTTTCCTGCCATACAACATAGAAGAAGCATCTCACTGCACCTGCTCCTGCACATGAAACGTCAATCTTCAGTCTTTTCTCACCTCTGGCCATCCGACTCTCGCCTCCTACTAGCTGTCCCCATTTTGTGGGTACTAAAAGCCTTGTCTTTTACCCTGAGCCTATATGTTTCCTTACAACTAGTCAGCTGCAACATGTCTAATTTTAGGCATGGGAAAGACCAACCGGCTGTTCTGGGTGCCCCCAACTGGCTTCCTTTTCACAGCTCTGGTGCTGTTTGCAGTGCAGCTAACGATGGTGCCAGTGTCTGCAGCCTAGAGTCATGCTTTCCTCTGATCCCAGAGTCATGCTTTCCTCTGATCCCAGAGTCATGCTTTCCTCTGACCCCAGAGTCCTGCTTTCCTCTGACCCCAGAGTCCTGCTTTCCTCTGACCCCAGAGTCCTGCTTTCCTCTGACCCCAGAGTCCTGCTTTCCTCTGACCCCAGAGTCCTGCTTTCCTCTGACCCCAGAGTCCTGCTTTCCTCTGACCCCAGAGTCCTGCTTTCTTCTGACCCCAGAGTCCTGCTTTCCTCTGACCCCAGAGTCCTGCTTTCTTCTGACCCCAGAGTCCTGCTTTCCTCTGACCCCAGAGTCCTGCTTTCCTCTGACCCCAGAGTCCTGCTTTCCTCTGACCCCAGAGCCCTGCTTTCCTCTGACCCCAGAGCCCTGCTTTCCTCTGACCCCAGAGCCCTGCTTTCCTCTGACCCCAGAGCCCTGCTTTCCTCTGACCCCAGAGCCCTGCTTTCCTCTGACCCCAGAGTCACTCTTGTCCTTGGAGTCCTCTGTGTCTGCATCAGGTGTGGCTGGGTACTCTGACTTTTAGGCTGAATTTTGTACTATGGCCATATGGGACTTTATGACCCAAATCACCCAGTTATGTGCAAATCAAAGGGGCTGTGAGCACTTTCCTGCAGATTCTATATCTGATTTACTCATGGACCTTGCAGCTTCTGAGCCCTTGCCCTCAGAATCTTTGATTCTGAATGGTTCCCATACTTGAATGATAAGCTTGCCCCTGAGTAGTCAGTCTGCTGCTATTACTCCAAAAAAAAATTACTCCTATTGCTGCCTGTTGCTTCTACCAGTAATGTTTCCAGTCTTGGGTCATTTAAAACATTATATATTTTTTTTAAGCCTGCAAAGATTTTTTCCTTTGAACCCACTTTTGCAATTGTTTCCCTATGGAGATTAGAAACACCCTGATATGTTGTTTGCTTCACTTGAGGACTTGCATTTGTTTTTGTGAGGTTTTTGTGCAGACGTGGTCTGCTCCCACTGTGGATCCAGCCATTTTGGAACAAGGTGACTGGCATACTGCTGGAGGATGCACCTACCATTAAGGATCCAGCCGATAAGCGGTTGGAAGCCATTTTTAGAACTCTATTCTAGCTGGTGGGTCACATCCTGCACCCGATCCTGGCTGTAAAAAAGCATTGACTTGCACAGGATTCAGGGGACATCTATTTGGACCAGAGCTTAATGCTATTGTCAGTGCAAAAGGCCTGAGGAACAGACTGCAAAGTATTCTCCGCTCTGTTGAGCATTAATTTTGTTTCTCCACTCTCTCGACCTCCTTATTGAAACCCTACATGCTTGGCTCCCCATTCAATCACAAGGTCTGGCACTCTGTCTGCCGA